GGGGGGGGAGGGATTCAATCTGACAAATGAAGTCTTTATCCAGTCTGGTCTCCTTTTTTATGAGGGCGTTAGTACTTAGTAGGAGGTTTGTTTGACGGTAGATGTATAAACTTACTATTTTTCAAATGTAAATGCAACCGAAATATTTTAAATGTTTTTGCTTTTGTAGATATTAAAACGAACTAGTGATTGAATAACTAAAATCTTTTATGTTTGAGGTGTTTCGGAATAAATAGTATGTTTCGATTAATATTTTAAATTTCTTCTCTATTGCAAATTATAAGTAAATTTATGCATTGGATAGTTTTTTTTTTTTTTGGTTCAATGGTCAGAGTATTCAAACTAATTTATGTGTACTTTGATTAATTTTCTCTCTAATTCAATCAAAAATAAGTTATTTATACCTAGATTAAAATATTTATGAGAAATAAATTTTACATAACTTGAGTTCAAATTCGTCAGATAAAATTAATAGTTCTTGAAGCTCTTGAATTTCAATTCTACATATGGACAAAAGTTCTAAGGTGAGCCTAGGCTATATGGAGAACTAAATAATCAGTTCAATTATATTAATTCTTGTAAAATTAGATAATTTGTCATCATAGAGATCAATTAGACTTTTAGTGGTTCATTTTAAATTTTCCATTGTACCCAAAAAAAAAAGATGTCTAACATTGATGCCACTTGCCTCCCTCTTCCTCATGTCTGATACAGACCCTTAAGGTGCTTCCAGTTAGAACTTCAAGATTTGAAAACTAAACCTATTCTTTAGTGCTTAGAATACACGGTAGGACCTTAACTTCAGCCCCGCCACAAGTGCAGAAGAGTTCCCTACCGATAGTTATGTGGTGTTATCAGATAATGTTCTTTGACGAACATGTGGAGTGATCTCTCTATATATCTATTTTAAATACCCAAAAGACAAAAGATTAGAAAACTCAACTTCAAATAAAACCGCCTTAAGCAGCACTTGTAAGTAACATTCCAAGTGGTGAGGACCACTAAATCAAACTGCAGAATGCATAAGGCAGACCATAGTGCCTCATTAGAGATGTGATCTAAAACTAAAATAGTCCATCTCATGGTCAGTAGATACAAATGACATAAACGTATCTATCGGTAAGAAAGAAACACATCAGAGCCGAATGCAGACATAAATAGTATTACAGTATGGCAACAAAGCAGTTAGCAACTGGTATTGAGCTAATCGGAAACACAAATTTAAAAATAAAAAAAGAACGAAAAATGCACAAGAATTGTTATCGTACAATCTTTCTTGGAAACTAAAGCGTTAATTTTTCTTTAAATCCCTTTTGGGGCTGGATTGCGACTCTCGTGCTGATGCTGGATAATTGTACAATACAGTTCAAACTGAAAGTTCCTTCAAAATGCATCATATGTGGATTTCGTCGTGAATACATCAATCCCAAAATTACCGGAATCCACTTCTAGTGTTTGGCTTCATCAGCGCCTCAAGAAATCTGTACATCCATCTGTCTAGCATTCCTGTTATATAATATAACAGAGTTAAATGCAGGCATTGTAAATAGTGAATGCACCAATTGTGGCCTTTTACAACAAGAGAAATAGTTAGCAAGAATGGCAATGACTGATTCCACCCCAAAACCTCAAAAATCAGATGAACTTAAAAGCAATGGTAAAGAGATACAACATGCAAGTAGAGATGTGCATTTTCTTTAAGGACTAATCTAAAGCTGTATGAATTGCAAAACTAACAATTATACATTTTTGTATTCCTACGTTACACGTTCCCAATTTTCTCAACATCACAGATTTCTCTGTCCAGAGTCCAGACCTTTAGCTAAATTTATTTTGTTTAAAGAAAAAGAAATGCGCCAGTTTTTCCCAATCTTTTTAAAGGGAAAAAATTCCAATTTTCTAGTGTATGCCTCCAACTGGATTGCTTACTGAGATCGGGATGCCCTTCCAAATCCTCACCTACAACATTTCGTTTCATATTCTAATATTAAAGTAAGAGGGTAACACACAAACCTGTTAAAGCAAATGTACCCCCCAATACCGCACAAAGCCGAGTGATGAAGTGAAGAAAACTGCGACGTTCTTCTCTGATGGTCACAGTGATCGGAGACAAATCATACAAAATGTAGACAGCTGGATTGAAGGATAACAAGGGAATGAACTGTTAGCCACCGCTCAGGTAAAAGCAGAACAATATAAAGAAAAGATGACACATATATGCACAAACCAACCTGGCCATGTCCTATCGAACTCGTTCATTGGGGAAAAATATTCCGTGACAGAGAATTGATTAGTTGGTAAAACTTCCTTTGATATATATTTATATTCAGTTGGAACAATCTGCATAATAACATACAGGAATATCACAATATAGAGCCACAGAGAATGCTAAAATTCATCTACACAAAATACTTCTAGTATCGCTCCTACCAACTCAAGCAAGTCCAGTGAGTTTGTTCTGTGCAAAGTATGGTGACACTACATCTGTATGGTTGCATTTTAATAACCATTTCTTCTTCCTTTTTCATTGAGGTAGGACAATGATCCTTTATATGATGGGCAAGAGCCCTTACTGATAATATCAAAAAGGAATTGGATAAGCATGGAATTGGAAACTAGAATTTTATTTATTTTTGTCTTTATATTATCACTTCATTGATAGTTTTTATCATTTATCAAATTATTTCATTAGGAAGTATTATTTGTAGGAGTGTCTAAGTAAGAGTGTCTTAGTAACGAGTTATGTTAGGGAAGTTATTAGGTTTTCATAGGAGACTGTGTTATACATAATGAAGTGACCCTAATATTTTCAATCAGAGGGTGAAGATTATTGAGAATTGAGTTTATTATGTATGATTCTCAACTAATCCTTACAAGTGTTTGGTAGATCTCTACTTTTTCTGGCATCTGTTATTCTTCTTTTCTTCATTCTGCATTAATAAGTGTTAGAAAACCTTGATCCACTTCCATATCGTACATGTTTCCCAAGCTGCTACTACTACTTGTCCTCCAAGTTCTGTCGGGATTGATTTTACCAGAAACCTCATATACTGTCATGGCATCTTTTCTAGTCCAATGTCTTCTCATCCTCACTGTCACATCATTTTTCCCGTTGAAGATCTGTTCTTCAATTTTCTTCTCATCCCCACGGGTGGTTGTTGCCTCAGATTATTGGGAAGTTTGGATTGCAGCAAACTTGAAGTCTGAACCTTTGCCACTATCAATTGCTACTGGCATCAACACTGCTGTGAAGTTGGTGCCATTACCAGTGTTACTTTATAGTCTTGCCACCGGAATCTTCGTCGTTCAAGCTGACTTCTAAAGCCTAAGACTGACCCAGATCCACATTTGAATCAAATAAACCTAAATCAACCGAAAGAAAGAAGTGAACCCCTTCATGCCCAACCAAAAGAACCCAATTTCCAAAATATCGATATTTTTTTCCTGAAAATTCCACTGACACACCAGAAACTTTTGAAATTATACAGTTCCACCCAATCTCCTTAGAGATTACCTAAAAATTTTCTGAAATTCTAAACTAAAAGCCAAAATTTCAAGAAATATAGAATCAACCTTAGAATTTTTCCAGATACTACATAATAGCCCCAAAGTTTCAAAAAATCTCAAATCAGCCTTCCTGTAAGATCACCAGTATTGAATTAAGTGCCAAAGTTGAAACTTCCTTTCAAGAGCGTATTAATGCACAAACAGCTACGAATGATAAGTCAGCTTCACTCCAAGCAACAATAGAATTTGCTAAAAGAAACTGGTAACTGCTAATCCAATGACAAACGTTGATTTCTCTTCAGCTGCCAATCAACAAGTGATTGAGCAAGTCTCTACAACACAAGCTCCATATCAATTGAATGAGGATCTGAGACTACCTAACTTTGATAAGCCTATAAGTTCTCCTCGACCTCCTTTTGTTACTACTAAGCAATTTCCAAAGTTTTGCAGAAGTGAAATGAAGCAAATTTGAAAAGTGTTCCTACTGACAACGATGCTACTTTGTCTCCATCTGTACATTCTCATCTCTTGGAATACTTCTCCTATCTTCCCTCTCCAGAGAAGAGTTTTTTCAGTTGGGACAATTAGGACTTTATTCTTACTTTTATAATTTATTATACTACATAAGTAGGAAATATAATTTGATTATGAGTAGCAAGAGATTTATTAGGGAAATGATTAGGTTTTTAAAACAGACTAGGTTATAAATATCAAAACCCTATTATTTTTCACTAGGGTATATTATTGAGAATTCAATATTGTGTAGAGATCTTGAACTAATCCTTGCGAGGACTTGGTAATCTTCTCCTGTTCTTCTTCCCTTCCTGTTAAGAAGCACTTCCAAAGCAAATTTTAAGCACACGTGTGGATTATATGCAGGGGTGATTCCCTAGTGCAGTAAAAAATTCTAGGCTAACCAGTGTCTAAATATGAGTGAAGCCACTTTGGAAAAATTAAACCAATTGTTAGGTCTAAAACTAGGGCCATCCCTCCAAGCACCATCGCCTAGTGGCACCGAATTGCCAACTTTTTATGTGCATTAAATATGCCCACTGTAATACAAAGAAGGCAGGTTTGACAAACATTAGATGAAAAATATATAATTCTACCTACAATGTTCCAGCATTCAAACCTTTATGTAATATTTAAATGTTCCACTTGCTCCGTGCAGAATTCGCACTGTCCCATCAAGTGGATTGTGAAGTCCTGGATATTTTGGCCCAAACGATAAATCATGAATAATGTGACTTACGTTGACATGAGTAGCCCCTTCAAAAATCTGTGAAGGAAGAACAAAAGAGTTAAAGGATAGGCAACTAAATAGAAGTGAAATAAAAAATAAATTAAGAAAGATGCAAACCAACCTATTGACAAGAACTTCCAGGAAAAAAATTCTGAAGGCCAAAAAAAAAGAAAAGATTGAGCGAGAAGATGTCATCCTAAAGATCTCCAAGCAAACCATGTCCTTGCCTTCTAGATACTTAATATACTTTAACTGCCCTAAATAGCAGAACTTCTCCCAAGGTTAAATCATCAGGAGCAGATTATTGAGTTCCATAAAAATGAAACAAATGACAAGAATCATTCGCGCAGATGTAACTCGTAACATTTAGGAATTCATATCACATAATGTGTGACGCAATTTTCATTTATGAACACTCACAAACTGTACAAACTGTTCGGATGCCTTACAGACCGGATTTGCTGAGAGTTTTTTAAACTTCAAAAAAGGCATTATGTAAATTTCTTAAAGCTGCCAAGAGGAGCAAATTCTACCCTTGATTAAAAAAAAAAAAAAACTAAGCAAATAAAAGCCAAATAGATCAAAATAGCCACACTTGGTTGGTAAGGATTAGACCAGAAAAGAAACGTTGCAGTTGAATCAAGGTGGGACTAGTTTATAACATACACAAACAGCTCCATCTTCTTATAATGTTAAATTACCACCATGACATGAGTAATAAAGACTTATATATGTTAAACATGCATATTAATTGCAAACATCGATTCATCCTAACTGTGCATAATCATCAAATAAATCAGCAAAGAAAGAAAAAAAATAACACTGCATAATCATCACAACGTTTGCAATTATCATTTCTAGTATTATTGACAGTCTTGAGATCAAAGTGTTGTCCTTAGATATGAAGACACGAAGAGATCAGCATCTATTCTTCATTGGGAAAGAAAATTTAACTTCACACTCAACTCCAGGATTGATTTCGATAGGTTAACGTAAGTTTCAATTGCACATAATAAAATGAGAGTTTGGGGAACAGCATGCATGATGAGGACAAGTATCCTACACTCTGTATAAATTCAACACCAAAGGTACTGGATGATGAAATGCTACAGAAGGCTTCACTCTGACACCTAATCATTTGGTGAATGTTGTCCGCGTCACACTCATTTCCAAGCAGTTGGAACTTCTCAAGAATATCAAATTCCTTTCTTCTCATTCATGAACCTAAAGAGTGCATCGCTTCACATGCACCAAGCCACTTCCTAGATCCTTAAGCATTCCTTCAAGTGTGCTCTTCTGGTTAGGCCAACTAATCTTAGATAATAGCATAAGCCTACTGTGAGGTTCACTTATAACAAAGCAAAATATGGCAAAAATAGTTACATGAGCCCAAAAAAGGAAGAAAAAAATAGATGCCGAGACTAAATTTTAGATAAAGATGCACAGACAAAGACGAAAAATGGCACAATGGTCTACTTGTATAAAATGATTGATAATCCCAGTGCGTTATTTGAACATTAAATTGAAATTCATGCTTTAAAGTAGTAAAAATGGGCAGATTGATTTAATTACTTACTTAGATTTTTTGTTCGGTATCCAACATAATGTTTCAGGAGTTAACAGCTAGAGAAACCTCAGAAATCACTTCTGCCGTAGATTCCAAAAGCCAGAGGAATCAACCAATAACCACTTTTAATATAGCAAAAGGATCAATATTACTAAGATTGTGCATTCCCATTTGGTTTTAAGTGCATTCAAACTATCAGCCATTCTGTGCTTCAGATGTTGCCATTGCTATTTAGCTAAATATTTCGGAGACATGTATTACAACTCCAATTACTGTTAAGTTTTGATTTCTTGCAATCTCAAAACAGAAATAATAAAGCATATTGCTATATTCATTACTGGGTAAAACTCCATCCCTTGGAAAATCCTCATTAAACTCCCCCTTCTCTTGAATGTAATAATTCCTCAAAAAACTGAAAGGTTTTAAGGAATCATGTGCATCTACAAACAACCATATTGCTACCAGGTAATTACATGAAATTAGATTAGTAAACAACATAATTGAGAAACACTGACCATTTGCGCGACNTTGGTTGGTAAGGATTAGACCAGAAAAGAAACGTTGCAGTTGAATCAAGGTGGGACTAGTTTATAACATACACAAACAGCTCCATCTTCTTATAATGTTAAATTACCACCATGACATGAGTAATAAAGACTTATATATGTTAAACATGCATATTAATTGCAAACATCGATTCATCCTAACTGTGCATAATCATCAAATAAATCAGCAAAGAAAGAAAAAAAATAACACTGCATAATCATCACAACGTTTGCAATTATCATTTCTAGTATTATTGACAGTCTTGAGATCAAAGTGTTGTCCTTAGATATGAAGACACGAAGAGATCAGCATCTATTCTTCATTGGGAAAGAAAATTTAACTTCACACTCAACTCCAGGATTGATTTCGATAGGTTAACGTAAGTTTCAATTGCACATAATAAAATGAGAGTTTGGGGAACAGCATGCATGATGAGGACAAGTATCCTACACTCTGTATAAATTCAACACCAAAGGTACTGGATGATGAAATGCTACAGAAGGCTTCACTCTGACACCTAATCATTTGGTGAATGTTGTCCGCGTCACACTCATTTCCAAGCAGTTGGAACTTCTCAAGAATATCAAATTCCTTTCTTCTCATTCATGAACCTAAAGAGTGCATCGCTTCACATGCACCAAGCCACTTCCTAGATCCTTAAGCATTCCTTCAAGTGTGCTCTTCTGGTTAGGCCAACTAATCTTAGATAATAGCATAAGCCTACTGTGAGGTTCACTTATAACAAAGCAAAATATGGCAAAAATAGTTACATGAGCCCAAAAAAGGAAGAAAAAAATAGATGCCGAGACTAAATTTTAGATAAAGATGCACAGACAAAGACGAAAAATGGCACAATGGTCTACTTGTATAAAATGATTGATAATCCCAGTGCGTTATTTGAACATTAAATTGAAATTCATGCTTTAAAGTAGTAAAAATGGGCAGATTGATTTAATTACTTACTTAGATTTTTTGTTCGGTATCCAACATAATGTTTCAGGAGTTAACAGCTAGAGAAACCTCAGAAATCACTTCTGCCGTAGATTCCAAAAGCCAGAGGAATCAACCAATAACCACTTTTAATATAGCAAAAGGATCAATATTACTAAGATTGTGCATTCCCATTTGGTTTTAAGTGCATTCAAACTATCAGCCATTCTGTGCTTCAGATGTTGCCATTGCTATTTAGCTAAATATTTCGGAGACATGTATTACAACTCCAATTACTGTTAAGTTTTGATTTCTTGCAATCTCAAAACAGAAATAATAAAGCATATTGCTATATTCATTACTGGGTAAAACTCCATCCCTTGGAAAATCCTCATTAAACTCCCCCTTCTCTTGAATGTAATAATTCCTCAAAAAACTGAAAGGTTTTAAGGAATCATGTGCATCTACAAACAACCATATTGCTACCAGGTAATTACATGAAATTAGATTAGTAAACAACATAATTGAGAAACACTGACCATTTGCGCGACAAAAATGTTTAACCCATGAACAGATAAATGGAAGTTCCCAGCCACCCTTTGGACATCTAGAACCCCATAAACCTGCAAACATTCATATCTTACATTAATCATTTCAGTAACTACCAAACATGTTGAGATTGGAAATGATGCCAAAGACATACCCGACACCCTTCTCCATTAGCCAATGCTTGCTTTACCTTCTTGATCATATTTTCAGCATCTTGATCAAAACCGTGCAGATGAATTTTCTTATCTGAATCCTCGTGATGATCTTTGTGGTCATCTGGCCAGTATTACCCATTAAAATCACAGAATTAATAGAAAAGTAAGTCCGGATAGAATGCTCATGGACCTTTAATTAAACATAAAGTTCAAGACAGTGAAGCATCAAGTACACAACAAGTGAAGAACATTATGGCATAGATATTGAATATTGGTGTGGCATCCAAATTGGAGGGGATGGATTATAGGTTTAATCTTTGCTGTAAATCAAGTAGATTACACAATATGCACAAAAACCAACAAAAGCAACAGCAAAAACTACCAAGAAATGAAGATAGGGAGAAGCCAAGAATGGTGAAAAGGGGGGAAAGATCATAAAATATTTGTCCACGAAAAATTGAGGCTAAAAGTTACGCCATGAAGGTAGCACGGATGCTATAATGAAGCAATGCATCAACAAGTCAATAATATAAATGAGAAGATATCACAACCTAAACATGATTCCAAAAATTTGAGTTGCTTGGCAACATGTTAGGTAACATCTTTTTTTCGAAAGGCAAAAGTACACTTCAAAAATAAATAAGATATACAATATAGCTCAATACAAAGCCCCAAGGCCACCCGACACAAACGCTCAGTGAGAGCAGCACTACACTTGCCTATCTAAGTAAATAACATTACTAAAGGCAAATAGAACAAATTCCCTCACAACCAGGGATATGTAAACACACTAAGAAGGTTTATTTTCGTAAACCTTGGATGGCTCTTTCTTCTCAGATGTAGAAGGTGGACTAGGCATCACTAGCTGGAACAAGCTAGACCCCCACCTTGTTCGTGAATCCTTCATTTGTTGAATTCTTCCTTGAAGTCTTCTGCTATTCTCCTCTCTAGAAGAGGGTTCATCATCCCTAGGAGGAAGCAAGTTCATTGGATCCTCATGCCTTGTCACATCTTGATCTCCATATGCCTCCTTGTTTCCTTACAATAATTAGCGATCTCAAGCTATTTTGGAATTTCAGAGGTGATAGAATGATGACAATGTGAAGAAGATGCAACAGTACCTTCCTGTTTCTTCTTTTCAATGGTCAAGGGAGGGTTTTCACAAACCTCTTTCTCTGTTTGATAACATCTACTCTTTCTTCCCTTTGCATTACTTTATCCAGAAGCACAAGAATGAACGAAACATTACAAGCCAACTCGTCTAAGGGGCAGTGATTTTGCTATATCCATAAGGTTCTCAAATATTGGGTAAGTTTATCCTAGATGCTGAGTAATTTGATGATTGGCGAAGTACGGAATTCTCAAAAAGAAGTAGTAAGCGTATGCAACCTTCTATGGAACAGCAAGCATTCAAAAACGAACTATATGCATTGATATCTATCATCCACTGGGAAGGGGGATTCCATTACATGCCTATAGAGTAAGGTTGTTTGGCCAAACAATAAAGTGAAAAGACTTAGAAGTGAAAATCCAATTTTGATGCCCGCAAGTAAGACAACTGCAATGGAGCGTTGTAACATGTTACACGTGTTTAATTGATGTAATTCACATGTGTTCCCCCCTCCACCCACCCCAACCCCCAAAACATATATTTTAATCGAAAAAGTTACATAGTGTTCTGTTCGTAATCCAAGTAGAAAGAAACTTAAAGTAGAGCTGTAAAGTAGTATAGATCAACTTTAGGATCACGACAATAAACATTTCAAACTCAAAACTTATTGACCCAACAAACAACATTCAACCTATAAACTTCAATATTTTGAACTCCCCTTCTTCCATATTCTTAAGAAGCACTTGATCAAATGATTGTCTCCAAAAAAACATGATACAAATTCCTAACTAAAACATATTTTCCAACCACACCAATGGCCCCCACATTCACAACACTAATCACATTCATTTGTCAATGAAGAAACAACTATGACATTAGCTTATAATATTAAAAACAGTAGTGCCCTACACACTAATAACACACACAAGCAGATCTTCTCTGTATTTACCCACCAATACCTTCACAAATAAGTTGTTTTATTCTTATATGAAACTAGTCTTGTCAATGGACCAAATTTCAATCAGAATCTGAATTCATTCGGTTGGATATGGATTAAAAGTTTAATTGGTTTATCTGATTTGTTAATAATCCAATCCCAAATCTAATTAACTATATTGCATACACAAATATCACAGCTTCTAAATCCATATATTTCCAAATGCGTGAAAAGTAAGAATCAAGTCAAAAGAGTCAAATCATTCTCTTCTCTTCTTTCTTGTCTTCTCTTTTTTCTTTACTTCTCTTACCCCTTTCCCTTTTTTTAGAGCCCAAATCTTCTCTCACTACCCATAACTAGGATTCTTTTCTGTTGGTCTCATGGACGTCATATTTTTGTCTCATCACTCACTCCCCTTCCCAATCACCAAGCCTCCGACCCTCTTTCCCTCTCCACGGGACCCTCCCCCATCCCCTTCTTTCTCTCCCCCTAGTACACCTCAACTCCATATCTAGTTGGCTTTGTGAAAATCAGAGAAAGAAGGAAGAGTTGCCCAAACAATTGCGGTAACATCATCTTACAAGAGGAATTTTTAGGATCAGTACTGGAGATACAACATCCATATAAGTTCTCAAGGTGTTATGATTCTCCGATTCAAATGTGATTCAGTGTGTTTATGTTTTTAGTCGTACTCGATGAAATTGCATATAAAATATAGAGTTGAAGTCGTTGATTGATTTGAGAAATTGTCATGAAATTGGGTCAAAATTGATCTAACATCGAGTCCTAATTTGAGTCATATTAGATTTTCATGAAAAATATTCGAATATGGACAACAAAAAACAAATTTGTCAGACTTAGGGATCACATTTGCAACCGCATTTTCTTATCGGATTCGGATTCAGATCAGGATCAATTGCAATCCGCTCGGGATTTGGTCTGCAAAAGAGGCATGTCTAAAACATCTACAATACGTGCCATAAAGCATCATTGAACAAACCAGCTAAGTCGCTTGTATACGTTCTTTCACTCCACCGAGGCTGCCTAAATGATACTTCTACCACCCGTGTCATCTCACGATATTTTGTTATCATTGCATTGGTTCCTTCATAAGGTCCAACTATACATATTCACTTACAACATACTGAAAAACAAAAGAGGGTTCCATTGGGTAATTTAAACTTTTTTTTTAGGTGGACCAAAAAACACAAACTAGAAACTTTAAGTGAATAAAGTGATAAAATTAAGAGAACAAGTACCAAACTCACACAAAACATGTTCTTAAAAACAATTATTGTATTATTACCTATATATACTCAACACATACACATAATTTGCTGCAATCCATGGTGAAGCATTTCCATACTACATTCCTCTAGGCCCTAGGCCCCAGGCAAGGACCATCAAAAAGCTCAAAGCGGGTCCCACACCCTCCCTAGAACAAAGGTCAATTCCCCAATTCAAATAATTTTCTTATTCCATCCTCAAAAACCCTTTTCAAATGTCAAACATCAAAAATGGTAATTTATGATAAAGCATCTTATCAACTAAAACCTAAGAAAGACATGTTTCCCAACCAGACTTAACAGTCACCTCCTATCAACACTACTCACATTCATTTGTCCATGAAAAAACCACTTTGACACTAACTTATAGTACTGAAAACACTATGGACCTACCCACTAATATCCACAAAAGCCAATTTTCTCTGTATTTAGCCACCACTACCTTGAAGAAAAAAGTTGTGTTATTCTTATCTCAACCATCTCCACATATGTCATAAAGCATTGTCGAATAAGCCATCCACATGTTGTTCACTCATTAAATAATATATTACTTACCATATACAAGCATGCGTCTCTAACTTTACAATGAAAAATAATCCTAATTTGCTTATAGTTACACAGAGTAAATTGACTAGTAGATTCAATGACATACAATATTAGAAACAAAAACAGAAGCAAAAATTATATTATATTCACATCTAAAATGCAGGTTCATGAATAGAATGCAACAAGGAAATTACCATTCTTATCAAATCTATGTTCCTTCTCCACAAGGTCAGACAAGTATTCAGTACCGATAATATAGCCCTCACTATTCAAGCGAAGCTGCAGAAATTCTCAACGGGTGAGTATAATGATACATAATGACTTGAACGGACACACACACACACACACACGGGCAATAATCAATAGCACATAAAACAATAGGCATTCATGAAGATTAATGGAACATAAAAAAGTCATAATTGCTTGAAATCGGATTATTACACATTATCACATTTTTTAATCATTAAAGTGGAACAGTTTCTCAAGTAGCAGATGAAAACCAGCTAATCATTAATCATGAGGAGATCAAGTATCTAAAGAGGTTCAAGATTCAAGGAAGGATAGATTTGAAGTATTCAGAAGTCCCAATAGTACATTTGTGTCGAACAAACCAATTGTTTGTCAATCGAACGAGAATTGTGTAGTTCAAACAAGTTTAGTTTGTTATTCTACAATAGTTTTATTTAACTAATCTTTTTTTCATCTTCCGATTGAGTTCAGCTTTTTGCTGATCCTCGATTGAGTTATAGAAGAGCAAGCATTATAGGCTTGTTAAAAGTTAATTCTCGATGCTTTAGTATTCACCATCATTTTGTTTCTTTTTTTCATTTGGTAGGAATCAAACTTTCATTAGATAATGCAAGGGTACAATGTAGCGGACAAGAAATCCACCCAATTTAAAAACAAAAAAGAAATTAGAAGAAAAAAAATACATTGAAAAAGTAACATTAACATAGACCAAAAGCATTCATCTAACCACATGCTTCGATCCAATCAAGAATGGGGCAAACTGGCACACATCCACAAACTCTTTAGAATTTGATGCGTCAAAAACTTTACTCTATCCCAAAAAACTCCATATATTCTTTTTTATCGTCCAAAATTCTACTGTTACTTTCCCCCACATCACCCAAAAATGGTCATTGTCACGCAATCCCACAAGAGAGATGATCTACACCAACAATTAATAATTTCTGTTGTGTTTAACAACAATCATCAGCCAACTAAATTTCATGTGATCCTTTCTCCTTATCATATTTTACCAATATTTTGTGTTCTAGAATCGTTGTCGTTTTACACTCGGTCTCCCGCGATTAAACTACCTCTAGATAACTAGCACTTCGATTTGCAAACTAAGTTGTAATGAATTTTTGGGACCATTGTCGGGAAATGTCTTGTGCACAAAGAGGACCAATTTTGTAGCAGAAGTTTAGTCTATCTTGCAATCCTTCACAAGTCCAATAAATTCATTCTGTCTTTTATTTATTAAATTGTTTACTTTATATAAGATCCCGCGGTATCTTGAACAAAGTGGGCGTTTAGTGAAAATTGATAGTGCTAGTTTGTTTGTAGTTTATTTGGTTCGCCCTAGACTTCCACACACTTGACTCTAGGGCCAATGAGACTAGGGCCGATGATGGTAGCGATTATGGGGAGAATGAATTCAAATAAAGGCACTTATGATGTCCTTATGTGAAATGTTTTCAACCCCCTCAAAATATGTCACTTNCATGAAGATTAATGGAACATAAAAAAGTCATAATTGCTTGAAATCGGATTATTACACATTATCACATTTTTTAATCATTAAAGTGGAACAGTTTCTCAAGTAGCAGATGAAAACCAGCTAATCATTAATCATGAGGAGATCAAGTATCTAAAGAGGTTCAAGATTCAAGGAAGGATAGATTTGAAGTATTCAGAAGTCCCAATAGTACATTTGTGTCGAACAAACCAATTGTTTGTCAATCGAACGAGAATTGTGTAGTTCAAACAAGTTTAGTTTGTTATTCTACAATAGTTTTATTTAACTAATCTTTTTTTCATCTTCCGATTGAGTTCAGCTTTTTGCTGATCCTCGATTGAGTTATAGAAGAGCAAGCATTATAGGCTTGTTAAAAGTTAATTCTCGATGCTTTAGTATTCACCATCATTTTGTTTCTTTTTTTCATTTGGTAGGAATCAAACTTTCATTAGATAATGCAAGGGTACAATGTAGCGGACAAGAAATCCACCCAATTTAAAAACAAAAAAGAAATTAGAAGAAAAAAAATACATTGAAAAAGTAACATTAACATAGACCAAAAGCATTCATCTAACCACATGCTTCGATCCAATCAAGAATGGGGCAAACTGGCACACATCCACAAACTCTTTAGAATTTGATGCGTCAAAAACTTTACTCTATCCCAAAAAACTCCATATATTCTTTTTTATCGTCCAAAATTCTACTGTTACTTTCCCCCACATCACCCAAAAATGGTCATTGTCACGCAATCCCACAAGAGAGATGATCTACACCAACAATTAATAATTTCTGTTGTGTTTAACAACAATCATCAGCCAACTAAATTTCATGTGATCCTTTCTCCTTATCATATTTTACCAATATTTTGTGTTCTAGAATCGTTGTCGTTTTACACTCGGTCTCCCGCGATTAAACTACCTCTAGATAACTAGCACTTCGATTTGCAAACTAAGTTGTAATGAATTTTTGGGACCATTGTCGGGAAATGTCTTGTGCACAAAGAGGACCAATTTTGTAGCAGAAGTTTAGTCTATCTTGCAATCCTTCACAAGTCCAATAAATTCATTCTGTCTTTTATTTATTAAATTGTTTACTTTATATAAGATCCCGCGGTATCTTGAACAAAGTGGGCGTTTAGTGAAAATTGATAGTGCTAGTTTGTTTGTAGTTTATTTGGTTCGCCCTAGACTTCCACACACTTGACTCTAGGGCCAATGAGACTAGGGCCGATGATGGTAGCGATTATGGGGAGAATGAATTCAAATAAAGGCACTTATGATGTCCTTATGTGAAATGTTTTCAACCCCCTCAAAATATGTCACTTCAAGCATTTATGTAAACCTTGCATGAACATTTCTAACTCCCTCGAAATCGCATCCCTTCATGCATGATTCTTCCTATCCATCCTAATAATTTTATTTTGGAATCAAGTATAATTTTGTTAGTTCCTGAATTCCATGATTATATTGTATTTTTTATGCGGTGATATCAGGATGCGAAATTTTAGAATTAGGGAAATGATGAATTAAAAGATTATTATGATAATAGTTTTATTTTTATCACATGATTATCAACATGTCTATATTCTACTTTTTAAAAAAATTCGTGTCAGTGTGTCCGTGTCAAGTCATATCTGTGTTCATGCTTCTTAAACTCCAAGTCGTAAACTTATGCCGTTAAAATGTGCGACAATTATATAGTTTCATTCATATGCGTAGTGCATCAACTTATTCACCAAGTTCAACATGTAGAGGAAACTCCCTTAAAAAAAATGGCAAGCATCTTACTTTCCATATGTTTGTATCAAGATCCACTTCATGCTTGCCTGACATATCAATAGCATCCACACTTAAAACTGCAAAATGCAAAGGAATGGATTAATATACATTATAGATATGTACTTCTGTGCACATAAAAATGTGAACACAAACAAATTATATGAAGGTAAAGAAGATGACCAAGAAAGATCTGAATAGGACCAGTAAAAGAAATCATAGTCACATAAAAAGTTAATCATTCTAACCATCACAGGGTAAAGATGGAAATGTCATATTTATGTGGATTGGAAGAGTTTCTCCACGTTTCAAGTCAACAGCCATCTGCCAAATACAATAATCACAGAGTCAGAAAATGTATCTAATGATTCGTACAGTCCTAGGATTCAGCGAGAGAAAGAACACTAAATTAGAGAGCTTTCCCCAGCCCATTCTCATCAATGGACTCCTGGCGTATAAGAAGGAGTGCGGTTCGTTCGATAAATTCCTACCTCTCTATCTAGTCATTAAATATATTCATGGAATAAGTGATAATCCAATGGCTACTAACTATTATTCTAAGTTTGGGAAAATGATTATCAAACGTATCATAAAGGAGATAGAAAAACAAACCTGATGGACTGTATATGTAGTAAGATAATATCTCAGCTCATGCAAGAACAATGTGGCCATGATGACCAATCCAATTATGGAGACTATACACATAGAAGACATGAAAAAACCTCAAGTTAGTGCTAGAATCACCTATGAAGCAAAAGTCTAACAAAATACATATATCAAACTGAATTCAAAACACAGAAATCAATCAAAGTTCAATTCAATAGCATTTCCTATAAGGTGTATATGTTAATTTTTGTTTTTCAAGAGGGGAACAATTTTCTCCCACACTCACTGTCCAATTTGCTAATTTTGCACTAAAATTTAAAAAAAAAACAGTGAGGGTGAGGATTATTTACCGAAGGCGCCTGTTTGTGTTTTCTGCATCAAGTGGTCTTCTGCACGAGGAAAGGCGTCAAGGGCTTTTATTGCGGATTTGACACCCATCCTTAAACCCTCCTTTATAATTCTAAACTTGTAGCTGTTATAAGCACAAGAATTGAACAATTTATATTAACGTCAGAAACCAAACAAAAATCTCAAAAGTCGAAGGCAAAATTCGGACTGCAGAAGAAATTGAGCGCAAGTAAAAAAAAAAAAAATCAGATTTCAATATTTCATGATCAAGCCCTCGATTTTTCCTCTTTTTCTACGAGGAGAAAAAAAAAATTGTAGAAGAGGGAGGGGAGAAATTACGCACAGATTGTGGGGGGGGGGGGGGGGGGGG